TTGTCTTGCTGCAAAACCTATCCCGGGGTGTGGAACTGCCTACCCCGTCACCTTCCCCCCCCCCCATGGAAAATCTATATATTTCATTGTAATCAATTGATTGACAGTGTCTCTGAGCCTAATAAGCCAGGTGACCCTCCGCCAGCGCTGTGTGTAATAAACCCCTATGCTTTGACCTCTACACGGTGTGGATTTATGTCCTTCAGTGGGGCATAAGCCATGGGGCTGTTTCATTGCTGTGTAGACTTCCAGGATAGGGCTAGAGCCCGGGCTCTGGGACCCTCCCACCCCACAGAGTCCTAGCGCCTTGGCTCCAGCCTGAGCCCAGATATTTGCACAGCAATGAAACAGACCCACAACCTGAGCCTCATGAACCCAAGTCAGCTGGCATGGGCCAGCCGTGGGTGTCTAGTTGCGGTGTAGATGTAGTCCAGCCAGGAAGCCTAGCTCATAGAGTATATCTCCCATGATGCATTTTGGTCTCCCATCTTCTTTAACTGCCATGGTGCATCAGGGGAAAAATAATGCAGCCAGGAAGCCTGGCCCATAGAAAGAAAGGGGGCATGAAGCACTGGAACTACAACTACCATGAGGCACCACAGTAGATAAGAATACTAAACAATAATGTTTAGTATTAAACATAATGATGTTAAATAAACATTAAACAAAATAATTAAACTAAACATTTTAACGTTTCTGAAACATTTTGATTCAGAACTTTCCATTTTACAAAAAGAATCAACTATTTGTCATGATTTGGGATGAAAATAAATGTTGAAATATTAGAACAAGCACGCAAACCAACACAATGCTTTTTTCCTGGCCAAGATTGTACCTGAAGGCACAACCCAGGATTAGCCCTATTTTGCCTCAGTCACCCATCGTAGGCACAATTTCCTTCTTGCTTGGAGTAATCTGCTGCTGGCCTATACCAGGAAGCACAACACTTTTTCCAGCTCACTGGCACACCAAGTTTGCAGGCTATACCATCCATTTGGATGGTGCAGCTTGTCCTACTGGAGCCTTTGGACAGCTTCACAGGCAGGTTTGGAGGGGTAACACAGCAATGGCACTCTGGGGCTATTTGCATCCACAAAGGCACACAGATAGAGCAGTCCTTGTGGTTCCCAAGTACAGGATTGTCCCAGTTGTTTTGTGGGGTAGAGATCCGACTAATTATCATCCTTCCACAACTATGGAAAGGCTGGGGATGATCTAGCCCATTGCTTCCTCAAATTACAACTAAAATTTGTATCACTGAAAAGTGAATTTTTTAATAGGTGGGTAGAAAAGATTAAATAGGCTGAATAGAAACACAGAAGTTGGGAAGGATCATCCACCCCCAGATCGCCTGTAATGACAAGATATTGATCATGCTGGCTATGGCCACCTAATGATGATTCTCTTCTCATTGCTCTAGGGAAAGGGTAAAATCCGTGTAGGTCCTGAGCAAACTCTATATCTAAGAGCAAAGTTAATATACTCTAGAGGTGAAATCCTGGCCCCACTGAAGTTGACAGCGAAACTCCCGTTGACTTCAATGAGGTCAGGATTTCACCCCAAATCTGCATTTTATCTTCATTTTAGTAGAAGGGCTCAAACCACAACATTTGGAGCTGCAGTTGGATCCAAACATCCCCAGACTTTGGATCTAATGTCCCACTGCTTAAGTTGGCATAAGTGTCCAGAACATAACTAATACTATTAAAGTAAATGAGAATTAATTGTATCATTATCAGAATAATCCTACAGAGAATCAGAAAGGTGTAAAGATACCTTTGAATTGAAAGAAACGTCAGCTCCCAAAGAAAATCCTGTTATAAGGAAACCTTACAACATGTCACACATTAATAACTATAGTATTAAAATAATTGGTGATGAGAGAAATATCAATTTATTTGTGCATACATAGAACGTTGCTGAATTCATGCCTTTTAACTTGGTTTTTGGGAAAAGACAATGTCACGTGAAGAAATTTTGTGTTAAACCACACTTTACTATTGTGTGATACTAAGAAAAAGCAGAAGAGTGAAGAGCTTGTGGCAGATGAGTTATACCGCTGTCTGTTCTGGTACACATGGATAGGTCACTGGACATAGCAATGTCGACTGAAATGTTAAACGGAACTAATCCATATTTAAAAGTACACAAGAAATATCAGTGGTCAGTGGTGAATACATACAGAGCCAAATTCTGAAGTCCTTACTCAGTTTTTTTTATGTGGTCCTCACTCAGGCAAAACTCCCATTAACTTAGCACACAAGAGTTAAAATTTTGCCTACAACTTCCATATCTACGAAGTTTTAGACTGGGAAGAGAAGAACAGGTTCTACTCATGTGGCTTTTAAAGTATGCTACAACAACGAACTTATAAAATAAGGTTATAAAACAATCAGAAAATGGATAAGGGCAGTACAAGGGCTATATTGGGGATATTTTACAAGCAATAAAATATGTAGTTTTCTTTTAGAGAAAAGCTCTAAACTAAGGAAGCATCAGACTGACCATTGAGCTGTGTTTGTATTGTTTCAGCAGATGTATATACTGGCTAACGGTTTATATTAATTTAATTAGCAACATTTTGATAGAATTTCAAACAGTAACCAAGGGTATGCTGGCAATGGCACATTTAGTGTTTGTATGGTAGTTCTGAGACATAAAGCCCCTTGGATTGCAGAGGAGAAGATACACTGTTTGCTCAATTACTGTCTTTCAGATGGGAGATCAAACTCAAGATTGGCCATTAGAACCATACAAAAAGAGAGGCCATACTGACTATAGAGAGACTATACTGATTTTTTGTAAGCTAAGACCATCTAGATACCAGATCAGGCAAAGAGGTCCTAAGCTAGCCCCAGTATTGTCCATCTCAGTAAGGCACAGAGAGCTGGTATTAAGCACTTAAGTTACTTGTGTTTAACAATTATATAACTCTAACATGACAGCAACCAGTCTCTGGTGTTGGCTGCAGGCCACAGCTTTCTATAGTCCAGAACCTTGTTTTCCTTAACACAGCACTCGTACATGACAGTAGTGGCTGATCCACATGGACTCTGATTCCTCTTTGGTAGCATCAATGCATTTATCCAACCGTGTTTATTAGTGATCTCTTTCTTTTTCAGCTTATGAGACAATGCTTGCTGTGATATTATAAAGACCCAATTACCGACCCGAAAGATTCTACCTCTTTTCAAGACCTCAGCCAATTACGAGCTACCAACTACTTATATCTAAGTAAGTTACTTGTGTTCTATTAATCAGGAGATGCTCAGGTTTTTCCTAACATCATTAATCTCTTACAAAGCTAATACCTGATTGTGTGTGTGATATAAGCACAGTCACTTGTTTTCAAAATGTATACCTGTGTTTCACCAACCGGTTCCACTTTGGATACTGAGAAACAACTCCATGAATATGAACGAGTGACCGTAAAGAACTCTGAGACCATTTAAGCACTGTACAATGGCCTTGACCCTGCATTATCTGAGCACTCAAAACCTACATTGGCACCACACCAGTGGAAATTGTGTGTGTGCCAGGATTACAGAATCAGGCTCTCTCCTGTGTATAGCTGATTATTAGCTTTATTTATTAATCATCATTATTAAGTATAATATTAATTGTAGTAGTCCCTAGAATTCCCATAAAGGATCATGGTCTCATTGTACTATATGCTGTACACACACAATGAAAATGAGGGCCCTGGCTCTAAGGCATTTAAAATGAGTTATATGACATGCAACAGGTGGATATAACACAGACAGGGGGACTAAACAACACTAAAATCATTGTGATTATTGTGGTAAGCATGTCACCCTCTATGTCTAGCTATCGTCTTTTAATATGGCACTATATTCTATATGTTGTATAATGCTGCAACTGAAAGGATGATGTGGGTGTGCCATTGGGGATTGAACTTTTGTGACCTCTCGTGCTTAATGCATTAGCCTCCACTGCCTGAGCTAAAAGAATCAGCTTTGTTAATCAAGGCTGTAGCAGGCTCAGCAAATTCTCTGTTCCAGCCGCCCATCGAGGGGGACAGAACACCACACTAAATGGGTGTGGGTTATATATGCATACCAATAAACTAAGCATTGGCTAGATGTCTCCCAATGAGGCCAGCTTCCGTTTTTAGATACCTAAATAAGTGGTCAATTTTAAGAGATTCGTTCAAAAGTGACTTCTCTTTTTCCTTAGGTTTTCTGATATTGATGCTTCCAACGCCAGTTAGCATGGATACCACAGAGTTCCGAAAGAGAGGGAAAGAGATGGTGGACTACATTGCAGATTACTTTGAGCAGTTAGATAAGAGGCAGGTCTATCCTGATGTGGAACCGGGATACCTGAGACCCCTCATTCCAGACTCTGCACCTCAGGAACCTGAGAGCTTTGAGGATGTCCTTAAAGATGTTGAAAGGATAATTATGCCAGGGGTAAGAACATCTGGAAAACAAAGTTACAGTAAAGCCTATGGGTGAAATCCTGGACCCAGTGAAGTCGATGGCAAAACTCCCATTGACTTCTGTAAGGCCAGGATTGCACCCTAATTTTTTAGACTTAGATATGGTTCAATCCTTGAGGGGGCCATTTCGAGATCTGGGGCAAAAATCTGTCTGGGGATTGGTCCTGCTTTGAGCAGGAGGTTGGACTAGATGACCCCTTGAGGTCCCTTCCAATCCTGACATTCTATGATTCTATGACAAAGCACTTGACACAGTGAATGTTTCTATTCTTATTAGAAACTATCACTCCAATATTGGTGCTTCAAATGGACCTGTTCTTGGAATTAATCTCCTCGACCCTAGATAGGACTGCAAAGGGCATGTTTCATCACTTTCATTGTTATCTGACCTATAACTAATATGCTTTCTACTCCTAAAGAACAGTATATCTTTTATAAACCAGGATTTTTATCCACAACATGCAGTATATAAAACACTTGTTTTAATTTCTTGTTTTTAAATTCAAGACTCTCATATGACTCTTCAACAAAACTCTTGTTCAAATGTCAAGACTCTCCCATGGCTTTTCTTTTTATTAGTAGGTCGACCAGAAAAGATTTTTCCACCTATTTAGCCTGTTAACATGAAAAACTTTTAGGAATGTAAAGTTTTTTGATAAATGTTTCATTTTGACTTTGATTTTTTAAGTACATTTCAATTTCAATAGCATCATCAAAACACTTAAACCAATATAGTCTTGATGAAAAGACATTTTCTGATTGAAAAACCAATGAAATGAAATGTAATGTTATTTTAATCACATAAATGCCAGAAATTTCTGAATCAAGGTTTGCCATAGTAAGCTTGACTCTGCATTATTTGTATATATTAACGACAAAAGTCTCCTGAAATATTGGCCAAGGTAGTCCATTATTAACCAAATATAGAATAGTAGAAATTGCCTGCACTTTCTTTAAACAGAGACGTATGTAACATTCTGTGTTACTCTGGGAAGGTTTTTATCAGTTCTATTTTTTTTAGGATTTTTTTTTTAGTGTGGAGGGACATAATTTGCATCTTATTTCCCTTCCCTTCTCAACCCTTCTCCACTCCAAAATTGCTGAAACTCCTTGTAATACTTGGCTTTGTAGACAGTATTTTTCAGTGATAGCACTCAAAACATCTTAGAAGTCGCTATATTCGCTACATTCATTTTACGCATGGGGGAACTGAAACCCAGAAAGGTAAAATGATTTGACTGAAGTCTCAGAGCAGGTCAGTGGCAGAGATGAGACTGGAACCCAACTGTCCTATCTCCCAGTCCCATGCCATATCCACTGTAAGGATTAGACCAATGTATTTTGGTGGGTCTGTGTGGATATCCCTGCCACACAGATGTTCCCTAGGCAGAAACATAAAAATGATGGCTCCACTGAAGAATGGCAAGAATCAATGGCAACATATGATAAATGTAGAGTGTCTACTCCCCTCAACATTCACACAACAGAATAGTAGGCTTCTGTGAGTCAACAGGGGTAAACCTTCTTCTGGGAACACCCTTATATTAGTTAAATTGGAGAGGCATCTTCAAAGGAGAGTTTTAACTACAAGATCATGCATAGGCACCAACTCCATTAATGGGTGCTCAGCACTCACCGTCAGCCCCGCCGATCAGCTCCTCCCCCGCTCTCCCAGCACCTCCCACCTGCTGCAGATCAGCTGTTCAGCGGTGTGCAGGAGGCACTGGGGGAGAAGGAGGAGGAGCAAGGATGAGGTGTGCTCGGGGGCGGGGCAGGGACAGGAAGAGGCAGGGTGGAGCTTTGGGGGAAGGGGTGGAGTGGGGGTGGAGTCTGGGGCAGAGCTGAGGTTGAGCATCCCAGGGGAAATGAGCAAGCCGGCACCTGTGAGATCATGGCAATTTTTCCACTTAAAACAAATCCCTCCCCCTTTGTGGTGACCAAAATGATTCAGTTCAACAGTAGTACACCCCCACAACAAGCAAGGATTTAATCCTTGTATGAATGGTCTTTTGCTGAAGAAAGAACATCACAGAAAAACTTGTCTTTGAGCAGCGTCAGGCTTAGTGTTGTTGAACCCAAGGCATTTGTAGCAACGTCTCTTTCCTCAACCTCTCTATCGCTGTTGTTTATCACTATGAGACTGATAGTAAAACAAGTACCTGCTCTATGACATTCATTGTGATATTTGCCTAAATGTGTCGATATCCATGTGGCAACTTCCACAGATGTATCTTGGCTTTTTGCAGGGGTAGCAGCCCCACTGGGGTCAGAATTATTGTCCTTTTTCTTTGCACTGTGTGGTGCAGTTAGAATCTATTGTGTCTCATCAAGTAAATGGCTCGCAGCTAGTAGGCAGTTTAACTTGATTAACCCAAGATGAATGTCACATCGTTTTAAGTATCATGCAGGATTATAGCTCTGGTGATAAGCACTTGCATTGCTGGCTGATTATGAATGTCACCATGAATCTGTGCATGTGGGTCTGAGATTGGTGACCATGGGAGTTTTTTGCTAGGAAGGAGTGAGCCTTTTATTGGAGTTTCTATGGCATTCATTCTTCATATGAATCTTTCAGCTTGTAATATTATGTGCAAACCACTGGGAAACCATTTGTATTAATGACACACATGGCTTATGGGTGTTTTCATGGAAAAGGCTGCAAATGAGCAATATAGTTTTGCATATCTCAAATATTTTTGGGAAGGCTTATAGCTCAAGCCCTCCCTGGTCCCCCTGAAGACCCAAATCTTACTCTTGATCAGCTAGAACCTGCAGTTTGAGATTTCTGGTTTGTTTGTTTTAATGGTTAGATTCTGGAATATTTCAATGTGTACTGGGTATTTAATTAAAGATTTATCTCCCATTGGAAAGGGATTAGGTGACATAATTGGTCTTTCCCTTCTTTAAGTGAGCATCTTTATGGCTTGTTGCACAGCTCCTCATCCTTTTTCACAAGCCCCCTCCCATGTAGCTGTTGAGTTGTATTTTGAGGCAATATTACCATGAGGCATGCCAGGGCTATTTAAAAGGCTTTAAAATGGGGAAAATTAAGGAGCTAACAGATGGCACCAGGTGACAAGGTACTGCTTTCAACTGGTGAACTTGGAAAGTACAGTATATGTGATAAATGTTCTAAGCGATCACTGTCAGAAAGGCAGGATCCCTTCCCTTCGCAATAAGTAGGGGCTTGTCTCGACTACAAAATTAAGTCGACTTTATCTAATTCAACCTCAAGCCTCTGAATTAAGTTGATTGTGCATGGCCACACCATGCTCATTGTCTCGATGGAGTGTGTCCTCACTAGCAGTGGGTAGCTATCCCAACTTGCAACTTGCCTCAGTGTGTTTTGGGAAGTTTGTGCCATGTCTCATGGGACCAAAACATTGTTGCAGCGGAGAATGGGAATATTGTGTCAACATCCCACGATGCACTGTGCTCAACAGCAAACAACCCAGTGGTTTCTGCACCTTAAAACCACCGCATGTATGCCATAACCCCAGAAGCATGGAGCCTGCTCAGTTGTGCACTCTTGCCGTGAGCATCTAAAAAACACCTCATGCCTTCTCCTGCAGTATTTCCAGAGCCGAAGTAGGGTCCGCCGCGTGGAACATAGCGATATCCTGTAAGCAGCCCTGCTGCAAGCCACTGAAGAAAACAATTCACAGTTGCTGCTGGCAGTCAGAGAGCAGCTGCACTCTGTTGAGTGTCGTATCTGGTCCTATGAAACAAGCGCTGACAGGTGGGACCGCATCGTTTTGCAGGTATGGGATGACAAGCAGTGGCTGCAGAACTTTTGAATGCAGAAGGCCACCTTCCAGGAACTTTGTGCAGAGCTTTCCCCTGCCCTGCAGTTCAGCAACACAAAAATGAGAGCTGCTCTGACAGTGGAGAAGAGAGTGGTGATTGCTATTTGGAAGCTTGCAATGGCAGACAGTTACTGGTCAGTGAGGAATCAATTTGGAGTAGGTAAATCAACCATGGGAGCTGCTGTGCTCCAAGTGTGCAGGGCTATTAATTGACTTGTGTTACGAAAAGGGTAGTGAGTCTGGGAAATGTGCAGGACATAGTGGATAGTTTTGCCGCAATGGGGTTTCCTAATTGCAGTGGGGTAATAGATGGCATGCATATCCCCATCTTGGAACCAGACTACTTTGCCAAACAGTACATAAACCAAAATGGATACTTCTCAATGGTGTTGCAAGCACTGGTGGATCACAAGGGGCGTTTCATCAACATCAACGTAGGATGGTCGGGAAAGGTTCATGACGTGCTCATCTTTAGGAACTCGGATCTGTTTAAAAAGCTCCAATCTGGGGCTTTCTTTCCAGACCACAAAATGAACATTGACAATGTTGAGATGCCTATAGTTATCCTGGGGGACCCAGCCTACCCCTTGCTCCCATGGCTCATGAAGCCATATACCAGCCATCTTGACAGCAGTAAGGAACGGTTCAACTATAGGCTCAGCAAGTTCAGAATGGTGGTTGAATGTGCCTTTGGTTATTTGAAAGGGTGCTGGAGAGGTTTACTAATAAAGTTGGACCTTAGTGAAGAGAACATCCCCATGGTTATAGCTGCCTGCTGTGTGCTCCATAATATCTGTGGGGGAAAAAAGGGGGAAAATTTTCCGCAGGGGTGGGCAGTTGAGACAGATTGCATGGCAGCCATTTTTGAGCAGCCAGACACCAGGGCAATAAGAAGAGCACCGCAAGGGGCACTGCGTATCCGCGAGGCTTTGAAAAGCCGTTTCAGTAATGAATCGGAGTAATGTGAGCTGCTTGTCTGCATTGTGCTTTCCCAAACCTTCACCTGCCTTGTATCATTGCCCCTGTAAAGCCAACCCCCCACCCAATTCACTACTTCTGCTCAATAAAGAACATTTATTTCTCGAATCCATTTACTTTATTTAACAAACATAAGTAAAGAGGGAGAACAGGAAACAAAGGTAACCTTGGGGAAAAGGGTAAAGTT